CACCCCCCCCCTTCCGACTCACTTAGCGTTGGCGTAGCTCCAACCCTCCAAGTTGCCGGCCTGTGTCGTCATGTGGACTGCCACCACCGTCCGGGATACATCCACAACCACCACGTCCCTCACGTGTCGCCCGAAGGCAACCAGCCACATGTCCACACCTGTCGGGGAACCGCTGCCTTAGAGTTGGTTGTTTTGAAGCTTTTTTGTTTTGTACAGCTGGGGCAATATTGCTTTTAATAGCAAGTCCGTCATGTTTTTCTAATCGGGAAAGTATGCTTATTGAACGCATGTTTTGAGAGCCATTTGTGCAAAAATGTGTTCACTATAACAATAATTTCTTGTAACTAGTTTTGCAAGTAAAAATTGTAATTGAGGAGCTATAAGCAATATGCGTAATCAAAATGTGGGTGAGAAGCCGGAAGTGATGTGAACAATACCATTTTACGTGTGACAGAGCTTTCAAATATTTTATATAAATCTAAAAATAAACGTTTTTTAATCTAGCCCCATCTGTTCAAGAAAAATATGATTTAGTTAAGACAAATTGATACAAAAAAACTGCTAGGCAAAGTATGGGTGACATTGATTCTCCCGTTAAAGAGATATTTGAGGATAAGTTGCACTACGAATTTTTGACCGCACTATATTGTTTAACAGTTGTGACGAAAATCTACTGAACGTCAGCAGATCCATAATAATATAAGTTATTGTCTATGATAAGAGAATGTGTATCGCAGTTATTGCAAGGATTTTTCATTACTTCTCAATTTTGTGTTCATTTTATGCAAGTGGCTGGTTCAAATAGGGAGCTGAGTTTGTGATGCTGGGAAATTATATGCCAAATTGGCTGTCTACGAAGGTGGGATAACAAACTTCCGTATACAAACTAAGAAGAGTTAATAAATGTTCCTGGACCGATGCCAGCGGCTCATTGGCCCTGTAGTTCCAGCTGCGAGCCACTGGGAGTGGTTTGCTGGAGTTAAGGAGTTCGCGACCCCAGTGCTTTCTAGTCGTATCTCCATTTTTAACCTCTCCACTGCTGTGTGGACGTGAATACTCGCTGTTGTTCTCCAAATACAGCCATTTTTTTCCCAACTGGTTTACAGAGGGCATTTAAGGATGTGTAATTACAGCTTGTGGCTCATTTTTAAATAACTGGGAAAGTTTATGATAGCTTTGTTTAAATTTCTTTTGAACGAATAGTTTATCTTGTCTGTACAAACGTAGACAGTAATTCCTCTGCAATGAAGGGGTTAATAACAGTGAAAACAGTTCATAACAAAGACTGAGATGAAGAAGATGTCACATTTACATGTTCATTGTTTAAAGAAATGGAGATGCGACAAGAAAGCACCGAGGACGCGAGTTAATTGAATTTGTGCGATAAAACTGAAAAATATCTTGTCAACGACAACGACAACGACAGCTAAACAACCTGGCCTTCCTGGTACAAGGTCCGGAACGTGACTCCAGGGAAAGAGCCGATTGGTCAGAAACCCGTCAGTGGACCCGTCCGTCATAGGGGTGCCAAGCTGGGACAGTTTTAATACGTCTGTCTCCTCGAAGCGACTCGAGCTTGGGGTGGGGGTGGAGGTG